GGTCTCCCACATAGCACAGGCAGTCTGGGCCTCACCCTCCAGTCACACTGGACGGGGAGATCTCTCTTTCCCACAGGCTGCACAGACCTGCCAGGGCCTGGGGGCAAGGACCCCTACATGCAGGGAGGGGCCCACCTCAGCCTGTCGCCCCGAGTACAACGTGGTTGTCGGGCAGTCACTGGGGTCTGCTAGGAGACACGAGGATACATGCCAGCTCTTGCATGCCCCCGTCAGTCCATCACAAAGCTCTGCCTACAGCTCAGCAGCGATAGCCCCATTCTACAGAAGGGGAAACCAAAGCATGAGGCAAGGAATGGACTGCCCGGTTATGCAGCAAGCCAGGGGTGGTAGGCTCGTGCTCCCTGCCCAGAGCACACCGCTGTCTTCGCGCTCGCCTGGAGGGAGCTCCCGGACGGCTCCTAGCATGAGCTGCCTGGGCCTGCGCCCTCAGGCGGGAGATGCTGCAGCCCAGAGCGGTCGCTCCGCCGGCCCCCAGTCCCTGCATCGCGGTTCTGGGAGTACGGGCTCTGACCTGTCAGCGGGGGGCCGGGCCGGGCCAGGCCAAGCAGCCTGGTGGTGGGTCCACGCGCCTCCCCACGAGGGGTCCTGCTCTCGTTTCAGTTCGAGGAGGACATTGTTGACATCTGCTTCAAGCTGCTGGACGTGGGCGCACACTGGCAGCAGGACACAGACCGCACCAAGCGCGGTGACCCCGTGCATGTCTGTCGCCTGGTCGGGGCCACGGTAAGGAGAGCGGGGTGGGGTGGGTCACGCTTCCCTTGTGGGCGAGACCCAAAGATGGAGGAAGGCCCAGAATCTGGGGGTGCCCGATTTGCTGCCATAGCACAAGCCAAGAAGCACGTCCGCCAACAGCTCCGTTTCCTGCCCTGCCCCTGGCCCTCCTCTGCCCCGGGGCCCCCACACCACCCGCGCTGCCGGGGCAGGCAGCATCCCACGCCACAAGCGCCGGCCCCGCAGCCTGCCGGGAGCTGCCACCTCCCCTTCCCAGCTCCCACCCCAGCGCTGCGCAGAGGCCGGTAGCAGCAGCAGCCGGGCGAGACACCGCGCTGGGGCCCGAGCGGCGGTCACTGCTCAACTCTCCCGTCTCCTTTTCCCGGGAAGCTGAACTGCAACGAGCTCAGAAGGGTCCTGACCGGAGGCTGGACTGCTGAATGCCGTGACGGGACACCCCCCACCCAGTGGCTGGGCAGCGCCCCCATCCTCCGGCAGTGGGCAGCAGAACGGTGCCAGCCCGTGCGGTACGGGCAGTGCTGGGTGTTTGCAGCCGTCGCATGCTCAGGTACCGCAGCTGCTTGGGGCTAGAGCAGGCCCCAGCAGCGCCTCTGCGCAGTCCTCGGCTCCTGAACCAGCCCAGGCCCTTCTCTCAGCCTCCTGCGAAGCGCCATGCAGCGCCGCAGCAGCCGGGTCCGCAGCCACGCACCCCTGGCCTGTATCCGCCCGGGCTCAGCTCACACTGCCGAGTCCCGGCTGTGGCAGGGAGCAGGGGGGCGCAGATCCTCCCCCGCCTTTTCTGAAGGAACGATGCTTCTTGCCGACACGGAGCAAGAGGCCTGGTGCCCTCCCAGCCCACCCCGGGGGACCCGCTCCATGGCCAGAGGGGAGGGCAGGTGACTTGTGCCTCATGGCTCTTCCTCTTCTCTCCGCACAGTGCTGAGGTGCCTGGGAATTCCCACCCGTGTCGTCACCAGCTTCACGTGGGCCCACAACACGGGTGGCCACCTAAGTGTGGACGAGTACTACAGCGAGAGCGGGGACAAGGTTGCACGCAACGGCAAGGCCAGCATCTGGTGAGGAAGCCCAGCTCGCGCTCGAGGGTGCAGGGACAGCAGCGCCGGGTCAGCCCAGAGCCCTGCCCTGAGGCACTGGTGCCCCAGACTGAGGCCCAGGGGTGAATCCAGCCTGCCCCCGCCTCCCCAACCCCTGGGGTGATGCAGCAGGAAGGGCCATTGGTGTGGCCGGGGGGGCCCCTGAGCCTTAGCTCAGCCCCCCAGTGCAAGCGGGTGCCCTCGTCTCCTGCAGGAGCTTCCATGCGTGGAACGAGTGCTGGATGGCACGGCCGGACCTGTCCCCAGGCTATGATGGGTGGCAGGTTTTGGATGCCACCCCCCAGGAGAAGAGCGGAGGTAAGAACCCAGAGAGGCTCTGGGGCAGCGGAAAAAAAGGGCCGCTGCCGGCCCCCTCCCCTGCCCACGGCCAACCTGCACGCTCCTCCCCACAGGCCCATCCAGCTGTGGGCCGACCCCAGTGCGTGCCATCAGGGACGGCATCCTGGAGCTGGACCCTGACGTCGCGCCTCTCTTTGCGGCCCTGAATGCGGAGCACCGTGTCTGGGTGCAGCGGCCTGATGGCAGGTTCCAGCGGGCAGCCAGCGGTGCCCGCTACTTGGGCAACAGCATCAGCACCAAGGCAATGAGCTGTGATCGCTGCCAGGACCTCACGCACCTCTACAAGTTTCCCGAAGGTAGGGCTGGGGATGGGGGATCCTGGCAGCCACCTCCTGCCTGAGGAACCTGCAACAGGATCTTGATGGGCTGCCCACCTGCGCTCAAGGATTCAGGAGCCTCCTGTTGCAAGGAGACGGAGACAGTGGTGTCCACTGGTCTGGGAGATGCATTGTACTGCACCTGCCCAGTGACACCACTGAGCAGAAAACTGTTTTTGTAATGTGGCAGGGTCTCCTCAGGCAAGAGAGGTGCTTGAGAGAGTCCACAAGAAGACAAACGAACTGGAGGGAGCTAGCAGCAGAGAGACAGATCCCAACACCCTTCTTCCTGCCATCAAAGACCTGGCTCTTCTGCTCTTCGTCTGCATTCAGCCCGAGAGCTCCGTGCTGCTGGGACAGGACATCCAGCTAGCCGTGACAGCGGCTAACTGGAGTGGTGGGGAGAAAGCTGTCTACCTGGTGCTGGGGGTCCAGACTTTGCGGTACGATGGCACCCCCATTACACAGCTCTGGAAGGAAGAGCTTCAGTTCACTCTCAGAGATAATGAAGGTAAGGATGGTTCCATATGTGTGCAGCCAGCACAGCTCCAGCCCCTGCCCTGTGGCAAGCATAAAAAGCACGTTTAGCACCAGCACATGCTGGGCTGGTAACGCTTCCAGCAGACTCCAGGGTAAGGCCAGACAGACCTCATCACTGACTCTCACCTGCATTCTGTGACTCTGTTCCAGAGAAGACCCTATCTGCCCAGGTGCCCTACTTGCAGTACAAGAGTGCGCTGGGAGACGGCCACCTGATGCTGAGTGCTCTGCTAAAGGACGTGGACACCCTGAGTGTGCACTTTGCACAGGAAGAAATCAGCATCTGCAAGCCCCAACTTGCCATCAAGGTTTGGACTAATGCAGCTGTTGCTTGCCTACTGCAGCAGGCACCAGTGCCGGGAGCATGCTCTCTTCCCCCCAGCACTACTCCAAAATGGGCCCGGGGGGAGGGAGGAGGCAGGGCTGCCCTGTGCACAGCTACCCCATGCATGCCCCGCTCACCTGCCTGTGAGAGTGCGGGAGACAATGAGCAGTGGGAAGTGCAGGGGCTCCAAGAGGAGCCCAAATGGAGGACTTGCCAGTCCAGGGGGGCAGCAATCTCGGGCACCAGAGCCCATGGAAGGTTCTCATGCAACTTCCCAGTCCCAGCTCATTGTCTCCTCTCCACAGCTCCCCCAGAGCGTGATGCAGTACCAGCCAACCATGGCAGAGATCAGCCTCCAGAACCCCCTGCCTGAGCCCCTGGAGCAGTGTGTGCTATCAGTGACAGGGAGAGGACTCATCTACAGAGAAAGGACATACAGGTAAGGGCACCCTGCCCCTGCCAAGCACAGTAGCCTGCTTTCAAAGCTTCGGAATAGGCCCGAACCAGGGTAAAGGCCACCGTGTTGCAGAGGTGGCACCTACTGTTGTTTCATAGCACCCAAAAGTGAATGAGCGTTGGGGCTGGCATCACTGGCACCACCGGGGTGGGCCCCATCGCCTCCCGTCCACTAGCCAGAGATGATGCCATGGTTCCACTCCCATTGGACCAAAGAGAAAACGAGAATGAGAAGCTGCCGGACGACCCCACCCACGGTGTTTGTGGAACAGCCACAGCCGCAGGCCCCAGTCAGTGAGAGGAGGCAGGAGCCCAAGGGTAGAAGCAAGGGGCCAAGGACAGGGACTAGACAGACATGTCAGCATGAGAAGGTGGCTCCAGGCAGGTGAGCGAAGCTGTGCAAGCTGCTGCGGCGCCATCAGGAGCTACCTCTCCAGCTGCCGGGATAGCAGGAGCTGAGCCGAGCCCTACTCACAAGGGACACTTCTCCACCATGTGCAGCAGCGAGGACAGTCCCGCCCCTCTCCTTGGAGCAGCCCCCCTAATTCTCTGCCAGAAGATGCCAAGCTTTGCAGAACAGCTGCACCATCTGAATGACCCCCTCTTGCCTTTCAGGTGCGACACTGTGCAGCCCAGCAGCAGCCTGCGCGTGCCCATCCCCTTCACTCCCACACAGGCAGGGACCAAGAGGCTAACCGTGCACCTCAGCTGCACCCAGATCCAGGACATCAAAGGCTACAGAAGTGTAAACATTGTGGCTGCCCAACCCCCAGCTTAATGCCGATGCTGCCCTCAGCTCCTTTCAGGCAAGCCGGCAAAAGCCCTCACCGCACACACTTTCCAATAAAGCCACATTTGAGCTGAGTGACTGAACTGCTGTGTGACTGCAATGGCCTGCATGACGCCCCATTCCCAAGCCCATACCCGGGACCTCAGTACACCTCAACTATTAAGGAAAAAGGCACTGCCCTGAAATGTGAAGGGGAATGTGCTGCATCCCTTAGGGCTGCACTCAGCTCCCATGGGGCCAGGGAGCCGCTGACCCAGCAAACAGCATTTTCCACTGCGTCCTCAGGGAGTGAGCTGGCCCAGCCAAAGCTGGCAGGGCAAGCCCACAAAGGATGCCAGGGCCCTTCCCCTCCGCACACCAAACCGTCTCCACACAAGAGGCACCCGCATGAACCCAGTTATATTTTATTGCTCTTTCTGCCTTCACGGCTAGCCCGAACATCAAGCAGGGACGAGACCCATCCGCAGCATCCATATACAACTCCACATTGTCCCGAGTCTAAGCTTTGCTTTGGCAGCTGCTAGAGAACGTCAGCGAGCCATCTTTGCTTTTGCAAAGTTCTTCGCCGTTGGAAAAGCTCCTCACTCCAAGCCCCACTCTCATCCCACTCCCTTTGCTGCAGGGAATGGCCAGATCCACCTGAGACCCTGACCACAGCATGTGGGGACGCAGGCATCAGAGTTCACCCTGTGTGAAGTCCTTGATTTTGTTCATGTTGTGATCTACTGCCCCAGTCAGAAACAGCACCCAGCCCTCCTCTGACGGGGGGCATGCATGGCTTGCCCTGCAGGAAAGGGGGAAAGCATCAGGAATGGCTTAGGGGGAGCCCTAGGCAATAGACCATCACGTGCTACTCAGCTGTCATGAGACGTGACTGGTGCAGCTCCCTCAAGCCCTCAGGGCTGGACAGAGCCAACTCCTACCTTGTCCACAACCATGGATTCATCTTTGAATACCTCCAGACATGCACACAGCCCTGCCCCACCACCCAGCTGTTACCTCTTCCACTCCCCCACGCTACTTGGTGATACCGGGGTTGTTCCGAAGACAGATACTTGCAATCCAAAAGTGCCCAGATAAGTCCCATCTTCCAGGGCTGACTTGCCCGCTTTCTAGACACTGTCAACCATCAGGAAAGGCACCCGTACACCCTGCTCTTGAGAGGGCCCCAAAAAACAAAAATCACACTCACCTTGCAATTTCTAGCATCTTTTTCAGGACAGAGGCCAGTTTAGCCGCCTAAAGAGAGACCGAAAGGAAAGCAACTGAGTCAGTCCAGCCTGTGTCTGACCCACCTGGCTTCAGGGGAAGGCACATGCTACCTCGCTCCAGCACAATTAGAGTAGGTTTAGTTCAGGGGTATCAAAAATACAGCCCATGGGGCAGAGCCCTATCATCTGGCCCCTAGTGCCGCCCCTCAAGAGCCGACCCACATGCTGCATGTGGTGCTGGCTCCAGCCAGCACGGGATGTGCACTGGGTCCAGCCCACAGGGTGGCCCTGCGCCACTGGTCTGGCCCATGGGGCCAGGTGAATTTGACACCCTGGTTTAGTTCACTAGAAGCCTTTAAATGCTATTTTGCATCTTTCTAATCTACTTGTTTCCAGCCATATATAGACCAAAACAACTCACAAGTAATTGAACAATCTAGCGAAAAAAGTGCATCATTCGCCATTTTAACATATGAAAGTAGGAATCCGCTTGGCAAACACAGAGCTATAGAACAGCTTAAGTGACCGCATCCAGCTCACCCCCCTGCTCAGCACCCTAACGAGAATCAACTTTTCTTTAGAAAAATAAAGAATACAGATGTGCAGACCAGATCAGATCTGGATGCCGGCTGGCTTGTTCAGATCAATCCCCTTGCTGCCACAGACACCTCTGAGCTGTACAGCTGGGATAAGGACCAGCAGGGCCTTTCGACCCCCCGCTCCAGATGGGCCATGGCCCTTTGAGGCAAGGACCAACAGTTTTCCTCAGGATGCCAAGGGGGCCCCACACCAACCAGCTCTCCTCAGCTAAGGGAGTTACTCTGTAGACCTGACAGCGCTGGCTCCCCCTTGGACATGCTCTGCTCTCCATGGGAGCCAGGCCAGGGCCTCTATACAGGAAGGCTGAAGAACAGCAGGACTTACATTGAGGCGCACAGCCAGCTGGTTCATGGGTGGATACATGCTCAGTGCCAGCTCGTCCACACTACGGCAGAACAGAAAGAGCAGTCACTACAGGAGGGGGACCCCCTGGCAGTGCCAGCAAGCACACAGCCCAAGGGGACACCAGCCACCTACTGAATCGCCTCTGAGAGCAAACTGGTGCTGCCAGGTTCAGCATGGGTTCTGCCTGAACACACTCTCCCTTGCCTTGCAGCCAGGGCATCACTCCTGTTCCCCAGGCTACTTCCTTGGAGCTCTCTCCTGCCCAGCTGGGATGACACCTGTAGCCCATCTCAGAGGTCCCGGGTCAAATGCCCCTACTCCCACCACCAGCTCAGAAGGCAATGCAACCCTTGTGAAGATGCTGCTTCTAGCACAGCACCCAGCAAGCCACAATGAAAGGGAAGGGAGGATTCACCTGGGGCTGATCTCGTTGGCAATGTCTGCAAGGTCATCCAGCTGCGCGACATGTTCCGGTGTGTCTGCTTTGCCGTGAGCCTTCACTGCACCCAAGACCTTCTTCAGGCAGGCTTTGGAGGCCTTCATCAGCCCCATGCAGGGGTTGAGCAGCTTCCGGTCTGCCTCGGACCAGTAGGTATCCCGATTGCCTCGAGAACCCAGCTCCTCATCCTCCATGATGTCCCCGTAGGGATCACCTCCTTCAACCTGAGCCTGAGGACACAAGCACGTCGGGATTCTGGAACCCACCATCTGCCCCAGGCATGACGAGCAATCCCCAGCACACCTAAGCTTCCCTCCGGATCCCCCAGCTCCCAGGTGTCCAAGGCCATGGCTGAGAAGGCTTCTCTCTAGGAGACTGATATAGAAGTTAGACCCTCCCCTCAAGGCTACCGAATGCCAAGAGCTTGCTGGTAAATCTGATGTCTTTTATTAGGCCAACTATTTTATTACTTAATTTAATAAAAGATATTGCATTCACCCAAAGAACCACGTCCAGCTATGTCCTTAGACCATCAGGGCTACAGCCAACACGCCTAAAACAAGAGCCTGCCAAACACCCCTCTTCCCACCAGCAAACAGCCCCTCAGGGAGAAGCCAGGGACGCGAGTTGCAGCAGCCCCATATCGAGCTAGAAACTGAACGCTTCACAGGCGCCCCCGCTGTGTGGGGCTGAACATCTCGGTCTGAGTCGAAACCAAAACACAGAAACCAACTGGACCGCTGTCCGGGGCAAACTCATTGCCTGCTGTCACAGCAGCACTACTGCAAAGCCCAGAGCTGACAGCTCTCTGTAGAGGGGAGTAAGGGCCTCTTACCTGCTCCATCTCCTTCAGGGCATCCTTGACCACTTCCAGATACGTGGCCACAACTGACAGGACGGCTGCCTGGTTATCTGCACGCAGAGGCCAGAGGGAGGTGAGCGGGCCGCGGGCTGTGCAGACCCCTGCCGCCTCCCCGGCTCGCACCGCGCTCCCCCGCCTCCCTGCAGTCGCTCAGAGCTGCAGCGTCCCCGCATCAGGCGACTCGGCTCGTGCGGCAGGGGCTGGCCTCCTAGGAGCCACCGGCTCCGCTCCGTCTCAGGGCTACCAGGGCCAGTGCTGCTGCGAGCAGAGCTCTCGCTACTTGCAGCGATGCCACCTACCTCGCGGCAGGCTGGACACCTGCTCGCACGCCTCCCACAC